AGGCTTTTTATGTGAGATCATTTGTGCAGGTCACAAAAGCAGACTTGCCCTTAATTGGGTTAAGTGCTTTGGTTCTTTGTGACAGCCGCCGCCGCAGCGAGGGCAAACATCTCAGCATCAAAAACCTCAGACTGATGTCCAAGGCCCCACGATCGCTCAAGCAGAAGAGTACCAGCCAGGTATATGCACGCACCTGCTCTCACTCTAGAGAGCCTATTATGCTTTAATCGTGATCCATCAGTGTATGCTCACATCCAGGAGGGGTGGGTGGCAAACTCGTTCAGCTTGGGACAGAGAACATCGTCAATAAATGCCTTGGAGGCAGTTTTGACTGGTGCAGGAACCAGCACGCTGATGCGGTCGCCCCACTTGTGATGCGAGTCCCAACGTGGCGCATAGTAAGGGATGGTGGACATGATGTTCAGAGTGGTGTGTCATGCCAGATGGTGGATGATCGTCACTGGACGCCGGGCCCAGGAGATGATGCAAATTGGGATAGGATAACAGAGGCTGCTCACAGTTGAGTAGAACTCTACCAAAAGATGGGATTCAAAAAAACTATATAAACTTTACATAAACTGTTTATATGACATATAGACAACTATTTACTATATACTATTTATTTACATCTCAGGAGTGTAAATAGTATAAATAGTTAGAGCCTTAGTGTCGATCCGTGAAACTCTTCTCAGAACTTGGTGCCTTGTCATTCGAAGTCTGTAAAGGGGAACCATGTTGGGACGAATCGCACTGCAGTAGAGGTGATTACTCATATCAATCGTATGTGTGAATGCTAGAGATATACGAATGGAATAGCCTGAGACTCAGGCGAGAATGTGTCACAGTATATTAGCACTTCCCTATTCGGAAGGCCCTACTGTAACTGGACTCAAGCAGCGTCACCAAAGCCAGCCACAAAAGCCATGCGACATCATTGATGATCAGCTAAGCGCTCAAGGATCTTATCGATTGTCTGCGCCAATCGACACATCACATGACCCACAAGGTAGCGCCCTATCAAGCGTCCCTGGCACGTGACCTTAAGAGACGCCCAAGCACATGACATCCTGATAGCCGCTCAATAGGCTCGGGCATAGGCACGGGACACCGAGGTCTGGATTGGTAAGGAGGTCGGTCTTATACCTCATGGCCGAGACGGCTGTCACAGTATAAAAGTGGCACCCTTCTTTTCGCGCAATTAAAGTCCTCATTTGGAGTGGCTATTTGGACGCCAATCTCATATTGGTCTCACAAAGTGGATACTTAGACAAACAGCACAATACCACCACATACATCGCAGATATGACTGTGTCTACCACATGACCA